AACAATTCCAGAGAGAACCGAGTGAGGGTTATAGGAAAGACGAACCAGACAATCAATCAATGAATAAGAAAAGCCTTTACTTAGTTCGAGATGGGTTCCAGAGATGCTGGGATCGGAAGTGATTAATTCAATAGTGCTTCAAACAGTCGATTGCAGCAGTGAGAGGATTCAACTCGAGAGATGACGTGAACTGACCCTTAAAGAAGACGACTTGCATGCTCTCATCCCATCACAAATTCAATGTATAATTTTCAACCAATTGAAAAGTAAATTAGGTATCATTGATGCAAATATTGCAGAAATCAGTTTAGATATTGAGAGCAATTGAGAGGTATATAGTTGATTTGGAAAATTATTTAGGATTTTTCTGAAATTGGGTTAGGGTTCTAAGGATTTGATGGTGCTGTTGTGGCGGCGGCGACAGCCGTGGAGGCTCAGCGGCGAGCTCGGCATTTGGAATGGGCGGGTGGTGCAGTGGCGGTGTAGAGAAGAATCCGATGAGAAACTGGGTTTCTGAGTCTCTGCTTCAATGTGTCTGCCATTGATTTTGTTAAATTATTATCATTATTATTATTATTATTAGTCTCGCTCAAGAGTTGTGGTGTGGTGTATTTTTATTTTTTATACCAAATTGGGGTTTCAAATACTCAGTTTTATTCAAACATGTTTTCTGAATTTGTTGATCCATCTTTATATTAATGTGACCCACTACCTCTTTCTTTTTCTAAGATGATGTTCATCTAAAGCGATGATATTATTCCATGTTTGCAAAGTTCGTGATTTGTGACCCACCACCTTTTTTTTTTCTTTTTCTAAGATGATGTTCATCCAAAGTGATGATGCTATTTCATGTTTGCAGAGTTCATGATTTGGGGAAATTTGGTTAAGGCCATGTTTGACTTTGTTGTTGAATGGGATATTGGGGTCTTAACCCTTGAAAATTAAGGGTACTCTTGTCCTTTCATGCTTCTAAGGGTAGTATCGTCTTTTAAAAAAATTCACCTAAAGGCCGGATGGGGTGATCTGCAACTTTTTTGTATAGTTCAGGAAGTTAGTTTCATTTTTGATAGTTCAGGGGGTTAGTTGCAAGTTTCCCCATAGTTCAGGAGGGTTTTTTTACACTTTATCCTATATATATAATATTGATTTTCATCATTTTGTGAAGGCAATCCTTTTGGGCTAACCACTCTAAATTGAAAATACACTTGTTGATTAAGGTTTCACTGGTTTTAACATTATATTATATTAATGTTTTTGTTTAAGATTAATTTCAAGAGTAACATTGAACGATTATAATTTAGTGTTTTTTTTTTTAACTTGGCAATGAAGGGCTTAGGAAGTGACTCTATCGACTGGACTAACTAGCTAGCTCACCCCAACTATTATAATTTAGTTTGATGTATTCTCTCAGTTCACAAAATCTTTATAATGTGATTGTGTGAAATAAGCCACAATAAATTTCTATTACTGGATATCTCAAAAAATAATAGGGAGTAATAAATAAACATCAGATGTCTATTATAAAAGTACCTCTACATATCTAGGCTTGATCACGGTTTGGATCAGATCAGTTTGGGGATAAAGTTCAAGCCGAACCGTTCCCCACAGATTGGTAAAAATTGAAATCGAACCGATCCGTGGAAGCCTTCAAACCGAACCAAACCGATCCGTTACTTCACAGATCGGACCGGATTGGTTTCCATGGATTGAGCATAAAACAAACTTAAATCTTATCATTTAACTTACTACGATAATATATCTCCAAAACAATATTATATCTGAACCCAAAGTAAAAACTAAATATACCGAAGAAAGGAATTCAGATCAGGAAAAATCAAAACAAGTCAGATCTAGAAAAATCAAAACAAGGAACTAAATATACCAAAGAAAGGAAATCAGATCTGGAAAAATCAAAACAAGGAATAACAAGAGTCACCAAGATGATAAAGATTTAGAACACCCAACAGTGCTTGTTAACAGAAAATCTATATCAAACGAACAAAACAAAATTAATTAACCAAGGAACATGTGTAATGTCTGTGTCAATATATATATATATATATATATATATATATATATATATATATGTGCATATATGTATATATTTGTGTATGTGGTGTAATTTAAAACAAAAAGAAAAAGGGAAAAGAAAAAGGAAATTGGGTGGGACCCATATGCACTTAAAATGGTCATGAGACCACTTTTTGTTCTAATTTTTTTAATTTTTCCCGTAAGCTTCTCTCTCATTCCAGAAGCTCTCTGTTTTTTTTTTTTTTTTTTTTTTTTTTTTTCTTTTTATGGTTTCAATCTTCAAGGCTTGATTGCTCCCTCATCTCTTAGTATTTTAAAGTGCCGTTTGAGGCAAAACGAAGCCCACGACGAACTCTACGCATCCATACCATCAATTTCATTTTTTGTACACCCTTTGGATTTCAAAATTCAAGACCTACTTTTAAGGATTTTGTGCAAATTTGAGGTAGGGGCTCTTAATCCACAAGTTTCTTGCTCCTATATGAATTACATCTTCTAATTTGATGCTAGACATGTTTACTTATGCTAGTTGTAGTTTAAAGAAATTATAGCATGTGTATGTGGTTATGTGAGAACTTGTTTTAAATGTTTTGTGTGAAAATTCTTACTTATGTGATGATTTATATATGTTCGTTGTACTAGATGCATCGTTGTACAAGAGCATGTTAGAATCCCTTGAGAAATTCTTGCGAAATTATGTCTTGCTTACTTAAATAGAGTTGAATGTGAAATGATGATTAAATTCATGGTATTGATGCACTCATGCACTTACATTGGGCATGAAACGGGAAGAATGAGTTTGAAATGAAAAATGAGATTTTGGGAAAAATGATTTGATGAAATGGTTTTGAAAAAAATCCGGTCGCCGCGGGGGTACCAAAGGGCTGGAGGGTTAATATAGCCTAGAGGGGACTAAGGAGTTGCCCTAGCGTGGTTGAGCTAGCTGGGCCCCATAATGACGCCGCAGGGGTGCCAAGGGTCAGGGACACTAGCCAAACTTCTTCTCGTGTCGCTGCGGGGTCGCCAAAGGGCGGATTATATTAACAGTTTGAAAGTGATGTTTGAGAACAGAAAATGGGGAGTGACATTGGCATGCATTTGCATTTCATGGCATCGTGTGGGTTGTACTTGAGTTTAGTTGGAATGTTGTATTATTTCCCGACATTGTATGATCCTCATTTCCTATTGGCCTATTCTTTGTATGGATTCACGAGGACATAAGAAAAGTGTCTTAAGCGTCACCTACTGAGCATATTTGCTCACCGTACTATTTATATTATTTTTTTCAGATCTTGGAAATGAACTGGTGGACGACAATCCACCTCAAGCTTAAAAGTTGTTAGAAGGTTGTTTGCTATTTTGTATTTTGACCGTTCTATGTATATTCGTAGTTGTGGAAATGTAACTAAGTTAGTATTCATGGCCTTGTAACTTAAGAACGAACTTATCTTTTGTTTGATGTAAATGAAACTAATGGAATTATGGTATATGTTTCCATGCAACTGTATCATGTAACGTTGTAAGACAAGGACTTTAAATATTAATCTTGTATTTCGGGACTGTAATTATGATAATTTAGATTAATTGGTGTGTGGATGTTCCACCATGAGAGGAACTATGTTAAGGTATAATGAACGGATGAATGGGATGCTGGATGATATTATGTGTTTTGTGTATTGGGACATGTTGTTGAAGGCCCATTTTTAGGGGAGGTTATGCCGAATTTTTTTTTTTAAATTTTAGCATCAGCTAGGGTCGTTACAAATTTGGTATCAGAGCAATGGTTCGAATACCATTAGGACGACGGGTAGAGGCTTACCTAGGGTTATCTGGGAAGTCATTTGTATTGTTATTTCCTTGTTTGGAAAAGTGTTATGCTATTTGAAAAAGCATGCTTAACTGCTTACTTGCTTACGTGCTTATGTGCTTATATGCTTATATTAATGTGTTCATTGCATAGTATTACATGCTAAATGTTTATACAGTATCTTTTTGCGTTGGGTTGTTCACGGTTGGACCTTAGTGTTATCGTTATTAAATTGTTTCCTTTCTTTTATAGAACGATGTCACGGCGTGAGGAAATCAGGAAAGTTGGCCCTAGACCGACTAGGGGTGATGTTGGCGAGAGCTCCAGCTCCAATCCGGAGGAGCTAAATGATGAGGACACACTTCTTAGGGACTTGATTCCCCCGAGAGTTGTCCCCACAAGGAGGGATAATGTTGAAGCACCCGTAAAAGTGGGTGAAGGTTCTGTGGTACTGGAGTTTAATCGTTTGTTGCAAAATGTCGTGAGGGCAACGATTGCTGCTCAGTCATAGTCAGCACTACAACCTACAGTTCAAGTTGAGGAGACGCCAGCTCAGAAGCGTCTCAAGATTATTAAGGGGTTTTCTCACCTGATGCCGGTTATGTTTGAGGGCGGTGCGGGTCCAATGATAGCAGATGACTACATGGAGCAAGTTGAAACTCAATTGACTTCTATGGATGTGACGGAGGATCATTTGAAGATCATCCTAGCTACTTATAAGTTTGTTAAGGATGCCAAATTATGGTGGAAGTCGGTTACGAGCCGGTACAAGGTAGAAGAGATGAGTTGGGACAAGTTTAAGGAATTGTTTTATGAAAAGTACTTTCTGCTTTCCAAAAGATGGGAGTTACAAGACCAGTTTCATAACCTTATCCAAGGGAGCATGTCAGTGGCAGAATATGAAAACAAGTTCACTTTACTTTCTCGCTTTGCTCCAGAAATGGTGAAAGATGAAGTTAACAAGACTCGGAAGTTTGTTTCTGGTCTTAATGATCGGATGAGGCCGTTGATCACAGCACAATTCATTAAGGTTTACTCTGAAGCAGTGGAAAGGGCTTTGATGCTGGAAGCTGATAATAAAAAGAAGGATGTAAGAAGAGAGCAATTGAAGCAAAAGAGGGGTGCAGGGCCATCTTCAGAATGATCTTTTTGGAAAAGGAACATGGGCGGTCCATCTCAGTTTCAGGGACAGCAGTCTGCACGATCTGCTCCTCCCACTCCGTTGCCAGCTGGGTCTGATAGGAGTGCAGTTGTTTGCTTTCAATGTCAGCAGCCTGGGCATTACAAGTCCAGTTGTCCCATGAGATTGACTTTAGTTTCTTCAGCTCCGAAGGCTTGTTATGGGTGTGGCCAGCAGGGCCATTTGATTCGGGACTGTCCGAGTCAGGGAGCAGGCACCACTAGTGGCAGAGGGACACGACAGAGGCCGTCACAGTCGGCTACGGTTCAATCAGGTTTCAGACCACCGCCGCCGCCACCACCACAGCCTGCCTTGTCTTCTCAGGGTTCACGACCAGCTAGGAGGGATACTCCTACTGTGTCGGCATAACAGTCTGGTGTTCAGATTAGTAGTTCACAGGCACAGACACCGCAGGGGCGTGTCTTTGCCCTTGCACCAACTGATGCATCTCCTGGATCTTCAGTTCTCCGAGGTATATTTCCAGTGTTTGGTTCTTGGGCCCATGTTTTGTTTGATTCTGGTGTATCTCATTCTTTCATTTCATCATCATTTGCACTTGCATCGAGGTTAAAGGTTAGTTTTATGGATCGGGCATTGTGTGTTGATACGCCAGTTGGAGTTTCAGTGTCTTTGAGCCGAGTCGTGAGGGACTATTCCATTGTAATAGTCAGGCGGACTTTTGTGTTTGACCTTATCCTCCTGGAGATGACTAGCTTTGATGTCATTCTCGGGATGGATTGGTTAGTTTCCTTTCATGCCACGATCGACTGTTACAGAGGAAGGGTTACAGTTTGTACTCCCAAGGGAGACTGTTTCTTTTTTGTGGGAGATTGGAGTGATTCCCACATTTCATCGTTTTATGGGATTCATAAACAGAGTCGTGGTGATTACTTTTTGGCTAGCCTTATAGCCGAAGAGGATGATGTTGTGGAAGAATATTATCCTGCAGTTGTTCGTGATTTTCTGAATGTGTTTCCGGAGGATTTGACAGAGTTGCCTCCACACCGAGAAGTGGAGTTTACTATTGACTTGATGCCCGGTACCGCGCCGATTTCTATGGCACCGTATCATATGGCACCAGTTGAATTGGAGGAATTAAAAAGACAGCTTGATGATTTGAGGATGAAAGGATTCATCCGACCGAGTGTGTCACCATGAGGCGCACCGGTCTTGTTTGCTAAGAAGAAAGATAGTTCTTTGAGGTTGTGCATCGATTATCGGAAGTTGAATCGCGCCACCATCAAGAACAAGTATCCTTTGCCAATGATAGATGATTTATTTGATCAGTTGAGGGGAGCCAGTTGTTTTTCCAAGATTGACTTGAGGTCTGGCTATTATCAGTTGTGGGTTAGGGATGAGGATATCCCGAAGACAGCATTCCGTACACGGTATGGACACTATGAGTTCCTTGTTATGCCTTTTGGCTTGATTAATGCTCCAGCGGCATTCATGGACTTTATGAACCGCGTCTTTCACGATTACTTGGACCAGTTTGTGGTAGTTTTCGTGGATGACATTCTTGTGTATTCACGATCTCGGGAGGAGCACGAGATCCATTTAAGTATTGTTTTACAGATTTTGCGGGAGCACCGGTTGTATGCCAAATATGAGAAATGTGAGTTTTGGCTATAAAAGGTGAATTTTTTGGGACATGTTGTTTCAGAAGGCGGAGTGTCAGTTGATCCATCAGAGATTGAAACTGTTTTGAATTGGGAGTAACCCAAGAATGTGTTTGAGATCCGTAGTTTTCTTGGTCTAGCGGTTTACTACCGGAGATTTGTGAAAGTTTCTCCCGTTTAGCAAAGTCTATAACCCGTTTAACCCGGAAAGGGATTAAGTTTGCATGGAATGAAGCCTGTGAGTCATCTTTCCAGGAATTGAAGACAAGATTGACTACAGCTCCAGTGTTGGTGATACCTGAGCGTGGCTTGGGTTATGTGATCTATTATGATGCTTTACGTGATGGTTTAGGGTGTGTGTTGATACAGGATGGTAGAGTAGTGGCTTATGGGTCTCGATAATTGAAGACTCATGAGTACAACTACCCTACTCATGATCTGGAGTTGGCGGCAGTTGTATTTGCTTTGAAGTGTTGGAGACACTACTTATATGGTGAAAAATTCGAGGTGTACTCGAATCATAAAAGTCTCAAGTACCTTTTCTCCCAAAAGGACTTGAACAATAGACAGAGAAGATGGGTTGAATTCTTGGAAGATTATAATTTTGACTTGCAGTATCATCCGGGTAAGGCAAATGTGGTAGCAGATGCCTTAAGCCGAAAATCTCGTGGAACTTTGGCCTATCTGGCTATTTGGAAGTGGAAGATGCTTAAGGATTTGGCAGAGATAGGATTGTATTATTTTGATAACGATGTTGATAGTGAGCCAGCATTTTTGTTTAGTCTTGTGGCTCAGCCTACTCTTGTTGTACGAGTGATTGAGTCACAGAGACAGGACCCGGATTTAGATGCCATTCACGCTTTGGTCTCCAGTAGTGAGACAGTGAAAAATTGGGCCTTATATGCAGATAGGGGTCTACGGTTCAGGGGTTTGTTGGTGGTTCTTACGGTTTGTCGTGAGGACGTCTTACTGGAGTTTCACACTTCCCGCTTTGCAGTTCATCCAGGTGGTACCAAGATGTATCACAATTTGAGACGTCAGTATTGGTGGAACGGGATGAAGAAAGATGTTGCACAGTTTGTGGCTAAATGCCTTACCTGTCAGCAGGTGAAGGCCGAGCATCAGAGACCAGCCGGTTTGTTGCAACCATTACCTGTAGCGCAATGGAAATGGGAGCATATTGCTATGGATTTTGTGACAGGTCTTCCAAGGTCATGAAGGGGCAATGAGTCCGTATGGGTCATCATTGACAGATTGACCAAAACGGCTCACTTTTTGCCTATTAAGGCAACAGATGATGCAGAGAAGCTTGGTGTTTTTTATGTGAAGGAGATTGTAAGGTTGCATGGAGTTCCAGTAACCATTGTTTCAGATAGGGATGCTAAGTTCACTTCGAGGTTCTGGAAAGGACTTCAAGCAGCGTTTGGCTCAGCGTTGCACCTGAGTACGGCATTCCATCCACAGACTGACGGTCAGTCGGAGCGTACTATCCAGATTTTGGAAGATATGCTTCGGGCATATGTGCTTGACTTGGGTGGTAGTTGGGAGGATCATCTTCCACTTATTGAATTTGCCTACAACAACAGTTATCAGGCGAGCATTCATATGGCTCCATTTGAGGCGTTGTATGGTAGACCTTGTAGGTCTCCTATTTGTTGGACTGAGGTAGGCGAGACAGCCGCCTTAGGACCTGACATTGTGCTCGAGACTACTAAGAAGATTAAGTTGATAAGACAGAGGTTATTTACAGCTCAGAGCCGACAGAAGAGTTATGCGGATAAGCGGAGACGGTCGTTATCCTTTGAGGTGGGAGACCACGTTTTTCTTCGGGTTTCTCCACGGAAGGGATTGATGAGATTCGGGAAAAGTGGCAAGTTGTCGCCACGATTCATTGGACCATTTGAGATTTTGGACTGTGTAGGAGAGGTTGCCTACAGACTTGCTTTGCTACCACAGTTGGATAGGGTCCACAATGTTTTCCATGTATCGATGTTACGGAAGTACGAGCCAGATCCATCTCACATTTTGAGTTAGGTTGATGTAGACATTGATGAGGATGTTTCCTACGAGGAAGGACCAGTTCAGATTCTTGACACACAACAAAAAGTGTTGAGGAACAAGACGATACCAATGGTGAAAGTCCTTTGGAGACACCACGGAGTCGAGGAGGCTACTTGGGAGCTCGAACAGGAGGTTCGCTCCAAGTATCCAGAGTTGTTTTTTTCCCCAGGTATGGCTTGATTTCGGAGACGAAATCTTTTGAAAGTTGGGGAGAATGTAATGTCTGTGTCTATATATATATATATATATATATGTGTGTGTGTGTGTGTGTGCATATGTGTATATATTTGTGTGTGTGGTGTAATTTAAAACAAAAAGAAAAAGGGAAAAGAAAAAAGAAATTGGGTGGGACCTACATGCACTTAAAATGGTCATGAGACCACTTTTTATTCTAATTTTTTTTATTTTTCTCGTAAGCTTCTCTCTCATTCCAGTCCAAAGCAACTCTGCCTGCTCAATGTCCATTTCTGTGTTTTTGAATTCTCATAAAAAGTGTCACTTTTGAAGAACCGTGACTCTCATAAATTGAATTGACATGATTCCTGAAACATGACACTATTTTTGAGACAGAGGTAGTATATAATTCAATTGTCCCCACTATCTCTGTATGCAAAATATGTCCTTATAAAACAAAATTGATCTAATAGTATAGTTTTAACTTTAGGTTAAAAATGGGTAATTTTTATGATATCATAGACTTGGACATACTTGTGAATATTATTAAACTTGATCAAGGAGCTGATTATTGGTGTATTGGAATTATCCCACTAAAAGATCTAGATTATTCTCTTTGATTTCTTATTGTTGACGGACCATTTACTTTCGAACCAAAGTGTAAATGCTGTATATGAAGCCTTTTTTTTTTCATCTCCATGAATGTTGCTTTCTGCTATGTTGGATGCTTTTTGTTGTTTAGTGTTTGCAGCATTAGTTTACTAGGGCATGAGTGAGTGAGTGAGTGAGAAAATATAAAAAGAAGTAAAGGCTGTGGAAGAGCAATGTTGTAGATGGGGAGGTGGAAGGGTTGGCTCTGCATCAACTTCAAAAGCTCACCTCTCTTTCCAACAAAAGGCATACTAGTGAAGGTTACTTCATGCCTCATAAACAAGGCCAAAGGTATGATTTAAGTCCACACACACACACACACCACACACAAAATTTCAGAGTAAACAATATGATATGAATTCAATTTATTGCATTCGAACACGAATTTGGTACCATAAGAAGAAAATGGTCAAATGTAGTGCATGAATTAATAATGTATTTTGAAGTGCGTTTCTTCTAAATTGTGGTGGTAATGATGGCAGAGAATAGGCAGGGGCTGGTGAGTCTTTACAAGGACATGGAAGCTTGTGCAGGATATGCAGATATACAAGTGATGTGGGAGATGATTCATTCTTCATGTCCTCCTAATGCCCACAAGAAGAGAAGCAGTAAGAGGCCTTCTCAATGGAGGAGATTCTGTTTTAGGCCAACCTAAACTTTTTTTGTTCCTTTTCAAATTATCTGAATTTAGATGGGTTTGATACACCTTTTTTTTGTTTTTTGTTTTTTTTATTTTTTTATTTTTTTGTCATTCTTCTGGCTTCAATTAGTAATGTCTCACTTCCCTTCTATATTCCTCCTCTATAATGAAGTAAATATAAGCAGCTGAGTGTATAAACTATTATATACAGAAGATTTCTCTGATTCATTAAGGTAATACTCTCTTTATGCAGTCTTCATCGAAAACTAAGTCCCAATTTCCCTACTTCAAGGTGTAAGGATACTTTGCAATCGATGATATTTATGCTGCATTTAGAAGAACCAAATTGGCACCTTAGAACTAGAGATGGAGAAAATTCAATTTAAAATTTGAACTTAAAATTTGTCCAATTTCAAGAGGATTTAACTTCTTTATCATAAATCCTAAATGTACAAGTAATGTCAAGTTGATTCCTAAAATAAAAACCTAGATATGGTTGATGATTGTTGCAAGTTCAAAAGTGTCGTCCCTAGGTAATCGTGAGAGAGAATAGCTTCCAGCTATAATCCATGAAAGCAATATTGTTAAAAGCCATGTCTAATGTAAGAATTATTTTGTTTTCAGCAGAACAAACTTCCATATTTCTGGGTATAAGCCCATTTTTATTATCGTCACAATAGTACATGCATTCTCTAAATAACAATGACCACTGATCCTAGGTTTATTCTCATAATAATAATACACACATTTGCTACATAACACCACCTCTTATCTTATGCCACAAAGAACACAGGCCGGTAAAGAAATAAAACAAACAGTGAAAAGCTTCAAAATGTTCCATCTCCCTCATGTAGGAGCATCTGATCAAAGTGCCACACTCCTGTAGATGCAACCACCAATTAGTCATAGCGCCAATAGCTAAAATAAATTTAATATGCATCTATATATATATATATATATATATATATATGTATGTATGTATGTACATATATATATATGAGGGGAAAGATTTGACTTTAAATTTGATTCATACCATGTCCTTTTCCAACGCGTCTCAATTGCGTGACATAGTCTGCGATTTTCTTAATGGCATCTACCTAGCAAAGGGTAAAAATAGCAACAGTTTAAAGCCAAAAATACACATTCAATTCATGTGTTTTCCATGTGTTGTCTGTTAACCCTAGGCCCTTGTCACTTTTTGAAGAACATATTTTACTTTTTTCAAACGATAAAAACAATAAATAAATAAATGTGTGCTTTTCATTGAATGTGTATTTTTGGAACTAAAATGTTTCAGAATGTGACAAGATCAAGCCAAGAAGCACATATTTTAAGTGGAATTTGTATCACAAAGCCTCTTCAAATGCTCTTTTCTAGTGCAAACCAAAATGACTTGGGAAAGATGTTCTTAGTTTACCTGCTCAGTTAAGAATTCAGTCTCGATAAAATCTGCCATTTGAGGATCATTATTCTGACAGGCCACCTATTGTCCATCAAACCGAACATGTCAAACCACAAATTAATACATTTGATAGGGGATGCAAATTCATCAAACTATAGTTGATTGAATAAATGTTTGGATCATCACACTAGTGAATATTTCTCCATTTCAGAGAATGAAATCAAAATAAAGAAATCAGGTATAGAGGGAAAAGATGTTTTACTTTGTGCAAGCACAGAAGCTTTTCATTTGTTAACTTCTCCAACGACAATGCTAGTTCCATTGCTACATCGAGAGATCATAAACAATCAGATCGAGCTAGTTATGCAATCGTTAGTGGAAATCACTGTTAAAAAGTTAAAACCAAAGCACAAACATGCCGCTTGGTAGTAATTGAATTTGAGATTTAACCAAGACATAATGTGATACAAGATTACTAGAGATCGGATTTTGGATTAATTAAAACACACTAAAGAAAAAAGATGAGCACAAACCATATGTAACACTCGGGCATCTATCTACCTCTGGTATGTAACCTTACAGAATTTAGAAGATAATGAATAAACTTACCATACAATGCATCACCCTTCTCAACATGATCAAATTCTGAAGGGGGCATCAGTATTGAGTGTAGCTTCACTCTTCCTCCTCGTTTGTTCTTTTAAATAGTCATCCGAAAAAAAGAAAAAAGAGAAAAAGAAAAGATATGATGTTTAAGTCAAAGACAAGTAATTATATAAAAATAAATGTTGTGAGGTAAAAAAGAGAAAAGGGGAACATATGATATTTGGGAAATACCTGGTATTCCATAAATTTCTCAGCATGTTCTCTTTCTTCTTCACTTGACTCTTTGAAAAATCTGAATGCAAAGAGATTAGATTATAAATCAACTCATAGAAATTACTTTAAAAATAAATAAATAAAGGATGGTTTGGGGTTGTTTTGTGATTACTTGGCAAGGCCCTTGAGAGCAACATTGTCTCTGTCAAAGTAGGCATACAAGGAGTGATACACATACGACACATTGTACTCCACACTGCAATTCAACAAAGAAACACAGTTTTAGAGAAAATCAAGACTACTCATGTTCATAAAAAAGAACCTGAATACCTACGGGCATACATACTGTTTTCTCAAAGAATCCGAACACTTAAATACATACCATATTGCAGTAGAAAACAAATAGTGAAATGTATAGAATTGGAGGCTTGGAGTGTGACATAAATGAAACTCTCAAAATCAAATAATTCTAATGTTTTTCACATTTTTTCCGAATGTTTATTTTTAAGAAATTCTATCAAAAGAAGTTTTCCAAATTATTTTTAAAACAAATGGTTCATTCATAAAAAATAAAAATAAAAACTGAAAAAGAAGAAGCAATTGGCTCATTCACAATCCAATTTTGTAAGACAACTGTGAAAAATGAAACGAGAGCTTCTCCACGGTCCTATTTTGTGATATTTATCTATTGTTTTCAAAATTAAAGTTAAATTAGTAATTTATGTAACTTCATGTATGTGGCTCACTGCCATGATAAAAGTTTTAAATGCTCCTTAGTCTTGCTTTCTCCTATTGGCTTTGGGTCTTTACTCCCAAATTCCAAGTAGCAATGCTGATGGGACCCATCACCCCATCTTCTGTTCGGCATTGGGAGTTCGACTACCTCATCACTCAGTCAATAAGGAAATAGGGCTCACGTGATAGTTTATACTTACCATCATGTTTGACTCATTGTTGGAGGTTAAGTTCAAGAAACCTGAATCTTTTACATCTTTTACATCGCTTATGCAATAATTCACATTATACATCATTATCATTATTTTATGGCGGTACAATTTGCCATGAAGCTATTACACTGTGATATAATGTGTTGAACTAGCTATACAAGACCAAGACCGAGGCATAAGATGAAGGCATAGGATCAGGGAATCCTGATTCCAGTTCAAGACTAGTTCCTTAAATAATCAAATCAAAACTGAGTTTGTCAAACTTGAGTAACAGATGACTTACTCTTTTGATTTGTGAACACGTCTAATATGTTTCTTTTTATAAGTTAAAAATATATATTTTAATTTACTAATAAAAATGTATTAAAATCTGAAAAATTAAAAAATTTATTAAAACAATATGTTTTATGACTCCATTAGTACTTAGTAGCACAACCTGATTTACAAACTAGTAACTCTATTCATTAGCGATCCTAGGCTGAGTTCCAAAAACAAGAGAACTATAGTTGAATATCTTCTTTAAGGGTGAAGTGCTAAAAAAAAAACCCTGTTATATAAGGAATGTGCAAATATTCCTGGTGTTAAATAATCCCTGTATTCTTAAAATTGAATAAATATGGACATTTTTTCAATTTAAAAACTAAAATAACTAAAATGTCCTTTTAAGACAAAAAAAAATAATAATAATAAAATTTAAAAATATAAAAAATAAAATTAATTATTAAGGATATTTTGGAACTTTTATAAAAAAATCGTCAAAATTGACCTTTTGTATATATTTTAAAGAATTTATACGTGTTTTTTACATATTTTTTATATAGAAAGGTTTTTATTGCACTTTACGCATCAGATCCCAAGGTAGCTGCTTAAACTTTTCATAAGACATAAAATTAGTTAAAAATTACAATGAACAATTGAAAAATAACTATTAAACTAATTTGTTACAATGAATTACCAAATTTATTTATTTTAATTAGTTCATTTGATGCAACAAATAAAAAAAATGAGATCCTCCACTTACCACTTATTTGTATTGTGCATGAATAATCAATCATAAATTTTTAGTTAGGTAATTCACTGTAACAAATCGTGCAAGTCTACACAAATTTGTGTAAGTCTACACAAATTTGAAGCGTGAAAAAGAACTCACTTGATCTGCTCGTTGACTCCTGCTTCACACTCATCTGCATAGTTTTGACGAGCAAGCGAATGTTGGGGAGAGATTGGCACCATAAAGGCCTCTCTCTTCACCTCTTCAAATGGCTGGAACACCACCCCGGTCAGCGGCGAATTCACATAATTTTCCAGTGAAGCCGAAACCACCAACCCGTTACCTCGTCTTTTTGGCACAATCGCCAGACCAAAGGAAGAAGATGATGATAATGAGTTCATGCTTGGACATGGGAAAACAGAGGATGTTGAGCTCAACAAGTGGCCAGGACTAGCCCCTCCTTGCATTGTAGGAAGAGAAACAGCTGACAATGCTTTCACAAACATTGTTATATATTTATTTATTTATTTATTTATATATGAGATAGAAGGTTTAGAAAAATGGAGATTGAATTGAGCAAAATGATGAAGAAAATGGTAATGAAGGTTTGAGCCTGTCAGGTCTGTGAGGACTAGTAGTTGGAATTAGAGCTATAGATATAGAGGTGGCCCAAGAGTCTGGGTGGCACACGATTCATTATGAACCGTTGGATGATCGCAACGTTGACGGTCCAGATTGATCTGCGTGTACTGGCGTGTGGCGACCTCGTGTCTATCCGAATCTGGTGGAGATATCCGAGCGCACGTCACCATCAAAAAGGTATCCCGTGACTAGGCTCTCTGTTCACACTAGAGATTTACATATATACTCCCCATTTATCAATGGACAGCTCTAAATGTTCAAGGGTATTTTAGTAACTAGATACAATTTATGGTCTTCACATTAGGACAAACACACTTTTGTATAATTCAATTTTGAATGCTAAATTAGAACCAAATTAGCTATAAAGATTTTCTAAAATTGATACTAGATCAAATATTGATTGATTCCTTAAACTCAATCAATAGCAGTAGTACAATATCACCGTGCCAGGTTGAAAGGCAAGAAAGCATTACTAAGTTACAATCTAAGTACTCACTTTTTTATTTTTTAAATAATATTTATATGTATTAATATATATTTTTAATATTATCAATTTAATATTTATATCTATCCGAATCTGGTGGAGATATCCGAGCGCACGTCACCATCAAAAAGGTATCCCGTGACTAGGCTCTCTGTTCACACTAGAGATTTACATATATACTCCCCATTTATCAATGGACAGCTCTAAATGTTCAAGGGTATTTTAGTAACTAGATACAATTTATGGTCTTCACATTAGGACAAACACACTTTTGTATAATTCAATTTTGAATGCTAAATTAGAACCAAATTAGCTATAAAGATTTTCTAAAATTGATACTAGATCAAATATTGATTGATTCCTTAAACTCAATCAATAGCAGTAGTACAATATCACCGTGCCAGGTTGAAAGGCAAGAAAGCATTACTAAGTTACAATCTAAGTACTCACTTTTTTATTTTTTAAATAATATTTATATGTATTAATATATATTTTTAATATTATCAATTTAATTTTCTTATGTTAAACTTAAAAAAAATAAACCATCACATTACTAAGGACCTATTAAAAATAAATTTAATAATTCATTAAATATTAATATAATAAAAAATAATTATATAAAAAAATTAAATTTTTTTTTAAAAATATTTATTATTGGACGAACAAAATATATACGGACCGAAGTCAACTCTTAGATAAATAGGTATTACTGTAATATCCTAATTGAAATTTCAACCCTCGGTAATATATGTAATGGTCAGACACTCAAAATCAAGAATTTGTAAAGTGAAATGAAAGTGTGACTATGATTCAGGATAAGTACAACTCACATTATTGAGTGAAGAATACGTGTACAACGGAATCGTATTGAAGTTTGCCAAGGAGAGTAGAAAGCATGGTCTATAAATCAAAATGTGATTATATGATTGGTTACTTATTTTGTTGTTGATGGAATTCTTTAAAATTTTCAATCAGACCTTTCAAAATTAGACATTTGTGGATAAGCTTGAAGACTCTTCAAAACTTTGATTATTTGGTACAAATTTCATAACACCTTCGTACTATTTTACTCTACTTTTTAGTCATTGAAATGCACCACTCTAAAAGCACAGTTGTGATAATAGGACTCTATAAAAGAAAAAAAATAATAATAATAATCCCTCAAGCACCACATGTATTATATCTAAAATACTAGATACACTTTATTAAAAAAGGCAGAGCGTTTTAATAATTAATGAGTGACTACAATATTCTCCGGGAACTTCACGATTATAAAATATATCCTATTGAATTTAACTTATTGTCAAACTTCTTATTTATTTTTATCGAAAGTAATGATACATACTTCGAATTCGAAAGATGTGTTTTTCCTCTATTTTAAAATAGATGTTTCCTTGTGAGTCACAATTTTCTAAATATTTTGTGAGTCACAATTTTTAAAGTGAACATTTATTTTGAAACGAAGAGAGTATCAATTTTCTTTGATCAATTGGCATTTTTACAATAAATAAAAATATTATTGAAGAGGAGAAAAATAACAAAAATGCAAGGGAAATAGCCTAGTAATTAAGAGAGAAATGGAGCCTAACAAGACAAAACGGCCTAGGCCGAAAAGCCTTAAATAAAGAATAGGCTCAAAACACCAACCCAAACAGAACCTAAGCAGGAGAACATCAAAACCTACAGGCCCACCACTCAAGTCAAGCATACAACAATTCCACACAAAATACAGTAATGAGTCACGTTCTGATTCCTAACGACGCCATGAGCATAGAAGACACGCATGCTAGTTGGCTAAGAACATTCATTAACTAGGAATGGTTCCAGGAAAGGGGCGTGCAGGACCACAAGATGGTACCTCTTCAGAGTTCAGGCAAGTCGACTCGGTTTAGTTCGAGGTGCTTGTCGCTAGTCGTGAACTTGACTATGAAGAAGGGAGTTGGCCATCCTTGCACAAACTGGTCGGGAGCTGGAGCCATTCCCCTGACGAGGCTAAGGCAGGCCGAAACCAGTCAACATGTATCCTTGGGAGGGCAGGTCGTGGTGGCTGACCAGTGCGCTTGCGCGAGCTGAAGCAACGCCTTGGTACCGCATGGGCCGTGCCGCTGCGCCAAATCTCTAAGCCCGTGACAAATGGTATCAGAGCAGAACTTGGGGTAAAGCACAGAGGTGTGCCCCCTTGTCGATCCGGGGGTCTTGATAAGCGCCGAATATTGTATATTCAAGCGCCCTAAATTACATTAACAAAGTTCAGTTATTAATTATTTTATGTAGATTAACTCCATTTGCATGTTTTTTATGCATTTTCAGGTTGAAGTGCAAAAAGGAAGCAAAAATGAGGCCTTGTGGAATTTTGAACAAAAAGGATGCCATTTCTGATTTTCTGGCAGCGGTGATCCTGACTTTTGTCGCCATTTTCGACCTAGCAAACTCAAGAACTAGACTTCCATCATAACATGAAAGATTTAGATCTCTGAATCAGCTTTCCAAATATTCAAGTGGTTCATCATTCGGAGTTCGGAGCAGAGAGTTATGATCTTCATAACAGAGGTGCGCAGAACTGCCTGGCAGCACTGATGTACTGCCTTTCTCCCCATTTTCGACCAAACAGACTTGAGAATTGGGTCTTCATCAAAACATGAAGTTTTTAAAGCACTGAATCAGCTCTCCAAATCTTCAAACAGATCATCATTCGGAGTTCGGGGCACAAAGTTATAGCAGTTTTACCAAAATAGGTCAGCGCTGAGCAAGAGGAGCATGTTGCACATTGCACTAAGTTAGAGTGCTCGAGATCACCAAGCGAGTGCTCGAAAATCAGGCAGAATGCCCTTCGGAAATGGCTCATTTCAGCCCACTTGCACATTGGTTTCCTCAATGCCATCTTCCTTCTTTATGAAGTGGTTGGAGGTGTTCCTTGGAGGAGAGAGGGTGTTGTTGGAGCATAAAAAGCTACCCAAGGGCCACACATTAGAGAGCTTCATTTTTTTAGCAAGATAGAGGAGAGAGAAGAGAGCAAGAAGAAGAGGGTTTTTGGAGCAAAAGGAAGGGAGCTCGAAAATGGAGGAAAAGGGCAAGTTTCTTCCTTCTCCTAGCTCACTCATGGGTAACTAAACCTCATCTAGGGAGGTGATGAAGCCTCCCCTTTTGTTCATGTTCTAGATTAGGTTCTATTTTGGGGATTATAATGTATAAACTTTGGTCTTTTCATAGTTTAAGAGCTTATTACTTCTTGTAATGAACATTCATGTTTAAATGATTGATGTGAGTTATTTAGCTTGTCTTGATGATTCTTACATTAGTCTTATTGCTTTTATTTTCATAGTGACAATGAAGATATTAACTATGAATGGTTTTCAAGGCATGTTAATTTTGAAACTTGATATTCCATTGCTTAGGTACCTCCTTTGATGGACTATGCTTGATTCTTACTTTCATGTGCTTCATCATTTGATTGAATGCTTGATGGTCTTTTGCTTAAGTTAATGTATTTGATACTACACCCTAGTCTAGGTAGTCCAAATGTGTTGTCTTTTGATAGACCATTCTTGTTTTAATCTCATGAACTTTTTATTGGTTATGAAGCAACTATGTGTTGCTACATAATTCTCGATCATTGCTTATATAGTGTTTATCCCCAATTTAGTCTTGATTTAGCATGTATTTAGGGCGTAGGTGGATTCACTTCTCTAGTTTCCCCTTTTATTATCTCTAACTCTCATTTACTAGCACTACTATTTTATGCATTCTAAGTTCTAAGTTTAAGTGACAAACAACCAAAACCCTCTATAAACCCATTATCATTCTAAGAACAATTCTAGACACTTAGGTTGCCATAGACTAGCGCAGTCCCAGTGGTTCGACTTACCCGACCAATAGCCCTATTTTACAATGATTCGTGCTATTGCGAAGGTTGATGTATGATTGACCAACCGATCAATTTTTGGCGCCGTTGCCGGGGACTGCAAACGGTTTAGCGACCAAAGTTCTAGGGTTAAACTTAGTGTGATTGTTAATATTGTGTTTTGTGCATATTTCTCGTGTGGTTTAACCATTTTTATGTTGTAAGATTCTAGGGACTTGACTCTCGCCGTGGGAACGCTAGCAAAGTGTAAGTCTAGAGGACCCTAGGTAAGCTTCTTGACCCTTTTAGTTTCGCATGGTTATATTTTGTGCATGTGTTAAGCTTAGAAGTAGTTAATTTATTTGCAAGCCCTTGTTGAGGCTATATTATTGTTTTAATTTTGTGTTCAAGCATCGGTCCTTGTCGTGGCCATTTATTTTCTGTCTTGATAATTGAGGAGAAAGGGAACATCGTATGTGGAGTTGATGATAAAGATTTGTTGTGATGCTGTTGTTGTGAATTGTTGATGTTTGGCCGTAGGTCACTCTCTCTTCCCACACTTGACTCGCCTATTGATATAAATTCACTTGAAAGAACTCTTAGACGGAACCTTAGGGAACCCACTCTTACAAGGGACCTTGAAACTGAATTCAATA